GGTTCAAGTGAGTCTGTTATCTCTGGGAGCGCCTCGTTACCATTGGGCCGCGCTAGGCTATCGCTGAAAGTCTTGCGCAACATTTATTCTTATCCTTCAACATCAAGATTTTTTATAGTATATAGTATTTTAATATACTGTATAATTGTATGTACATATATATTATAACTTAACATATAGTCTATATATTATTATATCGTATATAGTATATATTATATAGTATATAGTATATAGTTATATACAATATGTTACAATATATTATATAGTATATAGTATATAGTTACAATATATATAGTTACAATATATTATATAGTATATAGTTACAATATATTATATAGTATATAGTATATAGTATATTATATATTATATATTATATAGTATATAGTATATAGTATACAGTATATAGTATATATACTGTATACTATATACTGTATACTATAACATATATATTATATATTATAGTATATAGTATACAGTATATATACTATATACTGTATACTATAACATATATACTATATACTATATACTATATAGTTTATAGTTTATAGTAATCTGTTATAATTTATAGTATATATGTTATAGTTTATAGTTTATAGTAATGTATTATAGTATATATGTTATTGTATATAGTATATATGTTATAGTTTATAGTTTATAGTAATCTGTTATAATTTATAGTATATATGTTATAGTTTATTGTATATATGTTATAGTTTATAGTTTATAGTAATCTATTATAGTTTATATGATAATAGTATATAGTATATATGTTATAGTTTATAGTAATCTATTATAGTTTATATGATATAGTATATAGTATATATGTTGTAGTTTATTGTATATATGTTATAGTTTATAGTTTATAGTAATCTATTATAGTTTATATGATATAGTATATAGTATATATGTTATAGTTTATAGTTTATAGTAATCTATTATAGTTTATATGATATAGTATATAGTATATATGTTATAGTTTATATGATATTTTTTTTTTGTGCCAGAACGATAGGGGATTTATATATAACTCAAATAAAAGGAGTACAAACAACAGTCCAGCCTACATAAACAAGAAAACCTGAGAGGCACACAAACATTGTGGCCTAGAACCTCATAAGAACAAAAAGAGAGCAAATAAGGAAATTATGAACCTATCCACTGCCATAAGGCCTAGCTAGGACTCACAAGCTTCAACAAACAACCCAACAGAAGAAAAGAAGAAAAAACCAAACAGATAATAAGAAAATTTAAACACCTAAAACAGCAGAGTAGTCTAGCCAATCCCTAAGAGCAGCCTTGATGACAATGTGGATTGGCATGAGAGTATGTTGGAAGACCCAGAGGTTTCTAGACTTCCAGAGCCACCACAGCAAGTAGGTGGACAACTGGATTCGAGCCTCAGCCACCTCATTGTGTTTAAGAGTACAGAGTTGCTGCCACCACATCTTGAAGGAGTGTGTAAGGTTGTTCAGCCCATCCCACTGTACAGGTGCCAACTCCCAAAGTCTGCAGGCTCTAGGACATGAAAATAAAATATGCTCAATGGTTTCTGATCCTGCACCACAGATAGAGAAAATATCCTCCACCATTACTCCCTTCTGGATTAAGAGTGCTGCAACAGGTAAGGTGCCTGAGAGGCATTTCCATAGAAAATGTTTGAGCTTGCTCTGTATGTGTAGTTTCAAACTTCTGAGCAGATGTGTCTGGGGTGCAGATGAGCTGGAGCTGGATTCAGGGATATCAAGTTTGAGAATTTTTTGAGAAGTCAGGTAAGTATATGCACTGGAAACTGAGAAGCAGCCCTTGGCATCAAGCCCCCAATAGTGTCTATCAGCTCTAGCAGGGTTGAGAGAATTGATTTGCAAGATTGCTTCACTGTTTTGAGCATTGAAGAGTTGCCTAACCAACCATTCATTCCAGCCATGGCCATTGGGAAGCAGAAGCTCCTTCACCCAAATCAGATGTCCCTGTGCAATGTCCAGCATGTCAGGTTTTGGCTTTCTGAGATTAGGAACCCAATTGAAGTCAGACACTTTTGTTGATGCTCCATTCCTGATTTCAGTCATAAACCATTTGGAAAAAACCGGCATAACTGACATCCAACTATTCCACATCCAGGAGCCTTTGGCTGATTTTTTGGCATGAAGAAGGTTCATCTGAAAAATACCTATCATTTAGAACCTTGTTGACCAAGAGCTCTGGGTTAGTTGCAATTCTCCAAAGCTGTTTGCAGAGGAGAGCTTCATTAAACAATCTGATATCAAGGAAACCAAGGCCACCTTTTGATTTGGGTAGAGATAGCAGCTCCCACCTCTTCCAGTGAATACCTCTACTGTTTTCATCTCCTGAGTGCCACCAGAAGTGGGCACAAAGCCTTGACAGCTCAGAGCATATAGAAATTGGAAATTTGAAACAAGACATGGTGAATATGGGAAGAGCTTGAATCACTGATTTTATCAAGACTTCCTTGCCAGCTGTTGTCAGAAATTTAGACTTCCAATTTTGCAGCTTTCCTTTGAGGGACTGGATGAGGTAATCAAAGACTTCTTTTTTAGACCTGCCAATGCCGAAAGGGAGGCCTAAGTATCTGGTGCTTCTGTGAGGTGTGATACCATTAAGGGCAGAACAAATAGAAGCCTGCAGAGAGATGGGTGTGTTCCTGCTGAAAAAAATGCCTGATTTGTGTAGATTAACCTGCTGACCAGTGAATAATCTATATTTCTCTAGCAGTGAAAAGAGCAGGTTAGCTTGATCAATCCCAGCATGACAGAAAAATAGAGAATCATCCGCAAATAAGAGATGTGACAGGACAGGGCCATTCTTAGAGAGTTTTAAACCTTTGAAATTGCCTTGATTTTGAGAATCTAGAATTAAGGCAGAAAGTAACTCAGCAATAATAATGAATAGGTAGGGGGATAGAGGATCCCCCTGCCTAATTTCCCTTGATAGTGAGATATAGCCACTGACATTCCCATTCACTTTGAAAGAGATTGTGGTAGATGAAACACATACCATAATCAGATTAACAAAAGAGGCATGAAAACCCATCTGCTGCATAATTTTCTTGATACTTTGCCATTCCAGACGATCGAAAGCTTTCATGATATCAAGTTTCAAGGCCATAAAAAAGTTCTTACCTGAAGTGTGCCTGTTCAGAACATGGAAGGCTTCATGTGCCAGGACCACATTGTCCATGAGTTGTCTGCCCTTGATAAAAGCAGGCTGATAAGGGCTGATGCACAATTGTAAGCATTCCATAAGCCTCTGAGCCAGAACTTTGGACAAAATTTTGTATACCACACTGCAGAGGCTGATTGGTCTGAAGTGTCCTAGATTTTCTGGATTTGGGATCTTTGGGATTAAAGAGAGTATTGTGTGGTTCCAGTAGCTTAGAAGAGCTCCAGTTTGGAAGAAGCTGAGGATGGCCTCCATAACATCAGGTTTGATGGTGCTCCAGCAGTGTTGGTAGAAGAGTGCACTCATGCCATCTTCCCCAGGTGTTTTGTCAGGATGTAAAGAAAAAAGGGCAGCTTTTACTTCCTCTTCAGTGACAGGCCTCAAAAGCTCTTGATTCTTCTCCTCTGTGATTGTTTGGGGGATAAGTTGGAGAATAGAATCACCATCCCAACTTCCTTCAGTGGAGAACGGGTTGGTATAGAAGTCTGAAATATGTTGTTCAATGCCTTGCTGGGTGGTGAATTCTATGCCTTGAGCTGAGATAATCCTGGTAATTGCATTGAGTTTCCTCTTCTGCTGGGTGTAGGCATGAACGAATTTGGTGTTTCCATCTCCATCCTTGAGCCACCTCAGTCTAGATTTCTGCTACCAGTGCTGCTCCTCATGAGTGTGAGCTTTTTCAAGCTGTTTTCTAATAGTTTCCCATTGTTCCCAATTGATGCTGTCTCCATCTGATCTCATGACTTCAAGCTTTCTGGTAAGTGTCTCAATGTGTTGCTGATTTTTAGACTTGAAACTGGAACTCCATTGGAGAAGTGCAATTCTGGTGCATTTGATTTTTTCTTTAAGTCTGAAGAAAGGAGTGCCAGCACAATGAGTGTCCCAAGCTTTCTGAACTGTTTCTGAAAACCCTTCTATGAGATCCATCTCTTATCAAAGTGGAATCTGGATTGTTTCTTAGTTTGTGGTTGCCCCAAATCCAATAAAAGGAAAGCATGATCAGATGCACTTCTGATTTTGGTGGAGACAGTTGCATTTGGAAAGTTGATATGCCAGTCAAGTGATGCAAAGGCTCTATCCAACTTTTTCTCTACTAGGCCTTCTTCCATTCTGAGATTGCACCAAGTGAATTTATAACCTCTCATTTGAACTTCTTCCATTTCCATCTGATTGATGAAGGAGTTGAAACCTGTAAAAGAGCTGGCAGGTCTGTGGATGCCACCAGATTTATCATCCATGGAGCACAAGTCATTCCAATCTCCTATAGCACACCAATTGGATCCCCACATACTTTTATCAGCCTCCAACTCAGCCCATTGAGAAGTTCTAATCTGTTTGCAGGGGTTGAGATAGACAAAAACAGCCCATTGTGGAGAAAGAGAAGCCAATTGAAATTCCACAGCAATATAGAACTGCTTACAATGAATCTGCTTAACAGTCACATTATCATTCCAGAAAAGTAATAATCCCCCACTTAAACCAACAGGATCAACTGCAACCATACTATTAACAAAACCCAATTTTTTAACTACTGATTTAACAAAAGCTAATGTTTTTTTTGTTTCTGACAGAAAAAAGAAAGCTGGGTGATGAGTTCTTATAGACTCTCGGATTTGGGAAATTGTAGAGGGCCCACCCAGCCCTCTACAATTCCATACCGCAGCTAACATTGGTCACTGAGGTGCCATTCTAGGCTGGCAACCCCTACCATTTCAGAATTGAGTTTCAGTTTCTTTTTATCAGTCTGACCTGGAGTTTGGTCCTCATGTTGTTGAGTCTGGGATTCTCCTTCCGGCCTTTGTCTTTTAGCTGCAATCTCTTTATCAATGAGAATTGGAAGGGCTGGCTCTCTTTGAAGTCTCCCATCCTTGGTTCTGTTCCTTTTCCAAGTTTTGAGAATCCCACTGGCTTTGGGAATGACTAGTCCAGATTTGTAAGCTGGTGTTGAAGTTGCAATGTGTTCATCAACTTCAGCTCCTTCAATTTCCATAGCCTTGGAGGTTTCCATCATTTGAAGATTGGCATTCGCAGAGGTGTCTGGCTGTTTAATATCAGAAGTGGATTTGGGAAAAGGAGCGTCTGAGCTACCCCTGGCAGTAATAAGTGGCATATGAGTAGATGATTTATGCAGATCTAAGTCTCTGTCAGGAACTGGAATTAGAGCAGTGATGGGTAAGTTAGAGGGCCTATTATTGTCTTGGATGGATGTTGAGGCCTCAGTTTCCTGGTTTTGCAGCTGAGGAGATTCTCCTTGCATCACCACAATTTGGTTACTCCCCTCTGTCTGACTCCTAGACGATTTTAATGAAGATTGCGGAGCTGGAGCAGTATGACTAGTTGATTTGGGGCTTCTGGGTTCTGATAAATTCAAACTCGCAAAGTTTTGACCTTCCGGGGCGCGAAGCCAGTCCCCATATTGTCCTTCTTTTAAAGATTTAGAGAGAATGTCCTGCTGTCTTTTAGCGCAACTTCTTTCTAGGTGCCCGATAAAACCACAATAGTGGCACATACTAACGAGTTTTTCGTACTTAAAACAAACAGTATTCAGCTTATCCCCCAGCCTGATGGTTGCACATCGTGGAATTGGTTCGGAGATGTCAATGGAAACTAAAAGTCGAAGAATATGCCCTCCATGACTTCCCGCTCCCACCACTACAACATTCTTTAGCTGCTTAAAGACCGTTCCCAGTTTCAGACCCACCTCTGTGCTAAGCCAATTTAGGGAGATGTTGTAAACTTGAACCCAGAAATTGACCTCTTGGAAGATAGGGTGACTGATTGAGAGTCCATCACACCATTCAGTTAGTATGAGGTACTGGTTATCAAAATTCCAATTCGTGCCTTTAGCAACTCTTTCTTTATCTTCTTTGCATTGAAATAGGAACTGGAAGTAGTTATAGCCTAATTCCTTGACCTCCATGGGTAGAGTTAATCTCCAGATGTTACTCATTGCGCGCTTAATCCCTACCCAGCTGGCCTTGCGATCTCCTATGACTTTTCCAAAGAGACTGCGTTGGCAAATTTCTGCACTTGGTTTTATATCTTCCTGGGCTATGTCAATGATTTCTACTTCGCGATCAGATAATGAGAAGCTGTGAAGACGCTGAGAAAGTTCTTCATCTTGACCAATACATGAGGAAGATCCCATAGTAAACTCCCAAAAAACCCCCAATTGACAAAAACCCCTATAAGCCCAAATAGCCCTAAAACGGGATTTAGGACTCGCCTAACTCACAAAACTGAAAGAGCGAATAACGAAATAGTGGTTTAGAGGCAAAAGATGAAGAAAAAACGGAAGATTGAAGAGCAGAACAAGATCAAATCAAGGATGACAATGAAGAATAAGGCCGCTCTCGACGAGAGAATAATTTCGCTCTCCACGAGAGAATATAGCACACACATAATATTATAGTTTATATGATATAGTATATAGTATATATGTTATAGTTTATTGTATATATGTTATAGTTTGTAGTTTATAGTAATCTATTATAGTTTATATGATATAGTATATAGTATATATGTTATAGTTTATAGTTTATTGTAATCTATTATAGTTTATATGATATAGTATATAGTATATATGTTATAGTTTATATGATATAGTATATAGTATATATGTTATAGTTTATAGTTTATTGTAATCTATTATAGTTTATATGATATAGTATACTATTAAAGGATAAGAGTAAACTATAACATATAGTTTCAATTTGTTCATTTGTTCATTACTATATCCTTTATTTTGTTTAACATATAGTATATAGTATATAGTATATAACATATAGTATATACTATGTAATAAAATAAAAATACAATATACTATTAAAGGATAAGAAAAAAACTTGCGCAATATTTTCAGCGATAGCCAAGTGCGGCCTAATGGTAACGAGGTGCCCCAGAGATAACGGACTCACTCGAACTCGGGTTCGAGTCCCGAATCTGGGATCCTCCTACCATATTTTCCTAATATTTATATAACTTATTATCAGAATACGTTTTACATTTATGATATAAATATAAAACGTATTCTGAGAATACGTCTTACAAATAATGCCAAATATAAACTGTATTTTCGGAATACAGTTTTCAATTAAATATAAGTACTCCTTCTTTCTTCCTTCTTTCTTTCTTACGCGAACATAACAGAGTACAGAGTACAGAGAGCGAGAGCGAGAGAGACTTCAGAAAAAAAAAATAAAAATAAAAAAAAATTCCGCCGCTGCCGATTGGAGCCGCCGCCGCCGCTTGCCGCCGCACCTCCGCTGCCGTTACATGTGACATGTAAGTTTTGTCGAAAATTTGTTCATTAGTTTGTGTGTTTCAATTTGTTCATTTGTTCATTAGTTTGTTCATTAGTTTTGTTTTTTCGAAAATTGAATGTGTGTTTCAATTTTGGGTTGTTTGTATATATATTTGTTCATTTAAGGTTGTTTGAATTATATATGTTGTTTCAATTTTAGTGGATTAGGGTTAGGGTTAGGGTTAGGGTTGGGGTGATCGATTTGGGGCTTTTGTCAATTTTAGTGGATTAGGGTTAGGGTTAGGGTTAGGGTTGGGGTGATCGATTTGGGGCTTTTGTCAATTTAGGGCTTCGATTAGGTCTAAATGCATGTTAATGATAGGTAGAAAATTCAATTTTCGTGTATTAGAGTTTGTTTATTTTAAAAATGCTCGTTAAGGATAGGTAGAAAAATGGTAAATCTCAATATAATTTAGTCTATAGTATATATAATTTGGTTTGTTTTTTGTAATGCTATCCTTTGGATTTCAATGCAGAGTGGAAGCGTTTTTTTTCTTAGTTTATTAGAGTAAATAAAATCGTCTGATTGGTTATTATTTAAAATTACAATTTATCCACTAATTTTATTTCTTCTTGGAATTGTACATACATATATAATTTATTGTGTATATAAATTTTTTTGTAATTGTAGATAATGGCTTCATCGTCGTCGTCGTCGCAGCCTCAGCGATACAGTGTACCTCCTGGTCCGAGGGATCCCAGTTTGTTATATCTTCAGTACTGCCACCGATCACGGGCGGTTTTCGAAGATAAATAGGGATATCGTAGCGACACGGTTAAAAACCGCCGCTACGACACTCAGTTATGGAAGGTTTTGCCAAAGCAGCATCCGTCGGTTTGGGAGGTGATCGACCGGACCGATTTTGGGCCCTTGTTGCGAATGGGTCGAGTCCAAACCGACAACACCATCATTACCGGGCTGGTGAAAAGGTGGCGACCGGAGACGCACACCTTCCATTTCGATTTCGGGGAGGCCACGATCACCCTCCAGGATGTACAGGTGCTGTTCGGTCTGCCTGTCAATGGAACTGCTTGTTTGGGAGTGACGGAAGATAAAACACCCCAAGCATGGCGTGATAGGTGCAAGGACTTGTTAGGGTTTCAGCCCTATGTCGAGGTATATTTTTTCCTATATATATATATATATATTTTTTTTTAAATTATGTCCAATCAATTACATAGTTTTTAAGAGATAAAAAATCACTCGCAGGATGCCCCCACCACCCAAGAAGAGGAAGCGGCGCTTGATTCCGCTAATTGGACCATTAAAGGCCAGTTTTTGAAGGGTTTGGAGTTAGAAATGGAATGCTCAATACATCTGGGAGATGGACTTCCAGCCAGCCGCTACGAGCAGAGGGCGAGGGCCCTTATCCTGTGGTGCCTTGGGTCCTTCTTCTTCCCGGACCAGCGAATGACGTGAATCTTTACTGGCTGCAGCTGCTGGAGGACATAGATGGGATTAAGGGTACAACTGGGGTTCAGCGCTCTTGACCGCAGTATATAGAGCGCTGTGCACCTCTTACAGGGAAGGTCAATGGTGGATCAAGAGCTGTGTACAATTGATTCAGGTAAATTTATTTACTTCTTCTTTGAAAAATAATAATATTTTATTCCAAGTTAGACTACTAATATTTAATAACAAATTCATATGTCAACATGTGTAGGTTTGGGCGTGGGAGCGTATCCCTCGTACTCGCCCAAAAATGAAGCCCAGGAAAACGCAGTTTGACATAATCAGTGGTTGCCCCTTAGGTGCAAGGTAATAACATTTATTTATATTTTATACGTAGAGTATTTCCATTATCAAAATTAGTTTCTTACAAAGTTTTTTTTTTCTTTTTTTTTTATGTGATTTTGAAGGTGGGTGGGAAAAAAAGAATTGACACATGTAGGCAAGGGAACGGGTCCTATCCGGGATCAGTTGACAGGGCTGGAAGAGACGGATGTAAGATTCTTAATTTCTATTGTTTTATTTATCCTTGTTTTTTGTTTTTAATTTTTTTATAACTTAATTCCTAATTAATTTTTTATTCTTTTTTACAGTTCGATTGGCTGCCCTATCAACAGTATCTGGATGCTGGTACTCTCCCGAGTGAGTGTACAGAAGATAAACAATTTTGACTGTACCGGGGGTGGATGTTCTGTTGGAGTAGCCGTGAGCTACACTTGCCTGATAGGGTCATGCGGCAATTTGGGTGTCGTCAGTCCATCCCCCAAAATACAATCATTACGGGTGAGCAAGACTGGGCCAGACACCACGCCGGCCAAGGAATGACTGGGCGGGCATTCGGTGATTGGGCCGTCTTTCATTCACCGCTTACGAAGGCCTGGGCCGATGAAAGAGAACTACATCTCATCCCAATTGCCCCTGCGTATGACTTCCTGCAGCCAGAGCAGGGTTACCTCGATTGGTTTCACAGTAGGACTGTGAGACTCATCAGTAACCCTGGCAATTACCAAGTATTCCAACAGGCCGGCGGCTATCAGCCATTTGCCGAGCGGTTAGGGTGCGGGGTAAGTGTTCATAATAATTTGTGGTTTTTGTTGTTATTATTATTTTTTTTATTTACGTTGTTTCATACTAATTACTTTGAATTTTATTTTCAGACTTCTAGCCTGGAGGGGGTTTATAACTCGTTAACGAGTATTCAACACTTAATGCCTACATTCCCTCCAGAGGCACAGGCCGCATTCCAACAGTCCTTCAACTTTGCATACACTTCTCTGACTGTTGAAAGTCGAGGTCTTACACAAGGGGCGTCGTCAAGTCAAGTTCTATCCCAGGACGACTACATTCCATCTCAGAGGACACAGTCCCACACCGCGAGGCATCGACCCGCTGCCAACATTGGTGGGGGTAGAAGACCTCGGCCCCGTGACCGCGAAAATGAACAACGCCCAGCCAATCCACCCTCCCCCCAGCATCTTCAATCTCAGAACCTCGGCCTTGAAAAATGTAAGATTTATTTACTTAACAAAATATTATTTTTTGGTCTTTTTTTATTTTTATTTTTTTTCTCAAGTTGAGTTTGTGATTTTTTTACTAAATGCATTA